GTGTTTTCCTGAATAGAGTTTCCAGGTTCAGGAAGATGTGGTAAATATCACATGATCTCTGGGTTCTGTTTCCTTTCCCTTGCCTTTACAGAACCACTGAGACTTTAACCAACCCTGTGCCACCAGAGAGGTCCCTATATATACACCTTTTAATTTAAAGTTATGGTTTCCAATAGCCTACCCATGACAAGAAGTGAAGACTCACTTTATTCACTGCTAGAGAAGAATGTTTAGAGGAACTGAAAGGCTTCCAAGGCTGCTTTCAAATGGTAGCATATGGTGGATTGAGACCACATGGATGAGGTACTCTATTTAGGAACTGAAGACAATCCAGTGAAATCACTAGTTAAAGGTATGAAATTAAAACCTACAGAGAGACTGTGGCCTCTACCCTGTGAGGTCACAACATGGGACACCAATCCTATGTGTGTTCACTCAGTGTGGCCAGGGTACATCTTTCCATCAGTATAAGTGACTTACCAGAAGTAGGTCTTTGCCTAGCTCATCAATATCTGCCACAAAGTTCTCAATTGGCTGAGGAGATCTGGAATGAAAAGCCTCTCTGGGAAGGGCAACATCTCTGGGCCAGTCCTCTTCTCCTGGAAGTCCAATCACACTGCAAAAGAACCGCATGTGAATACAGCATTAGCTACTATGCTGAAATTGTTTCCCCTCCAAATTCTAGATTAAGGCAAAGTCTAAGGAATAGTACGAGGACCACAAAGCCCCAGGAGTCCCCTACTTATATCACTGGCAGAACTCTCATTTCTCTGTCTTACTGTAGCACATTTATCATGGGGTAAGGGGTAATTTCATATGAGAATTGTAGAATTCACTTGGAAGAGATACGTAAAAGAGTATCTGGTGATAGATTCTAAATATAAGAGAAAATATATCAATGGAAAAATCTCAAAAAGAGCAGCACCTAGATATTCAAAGGAGCTCCAGAAGGACATATATTTTGTTTATGTTGAGTAACTTCCTGTTCTGTTCAAACACTCCCATATCAACACACTTTATGATGTTCATATAATGCAATTTGCTAACACATTAATTTGGTTAAAGATTCATTCTCCAAACTGTAATTACATATATTAGAGTCAGGCAAAAAAAAAAGTTAGAAGATATGTACTTGCAAATATAATTTTATAATCTAATATTAAATCATATACTAATAATATATAGCTAAGTTTAACATATAACAATATTTTTAAAATAATACTTAACTATTTTATGGTATTCCAAGTATTTTATGGTACTTAACTATTTTATGGTATTATGGTATTTTATGGTATTTTATGGTATTAACTATTTTATGGTATTCCAACTATTTTATTGCAAACAATAAATAGAAATAATATATTTCATTTCTCCTGCAAATCATTCTGGGATAAGAAATGTGGAGAGACAAAGCGATGAAGAAAAAGCAGAACTTTGGAAATAGGCAGACCTGGGTTTTCCACTTGCCACTAATTGGTAGGTGAGACCAAACACTTAAATTCTATAAGCCTCAGTGTCTTTATGTAGCAGTAATGTTCAGTTTTTGTGAGGGTTAGCAATAACTTATATAAAGTGCATAACACAGTGTCTGATACAGTATTTATCAACATCATTACAATACCTGTTATTATTAAAAGAGAAAATGTTGGCCCTCCCTGGTGGCACAGTGGGTTAAAGCACAGCACTGAGAAGCTAAAGCAACTTCCGCATGAGTTGGATTCCCGCCTGCCCCGGAGGTGACCACATGACGTGGCAGACCTCTCCTGACCCGCCTGCTACTCCCCTCAGCAGTGTACTTTGTTGATCTGCCTGTTCTACTCCCCACTCTGTCTCTGGTGAAGGCTCTCGCCGCCCCTGACCTCTGGCCTGTACCCCAAATAAATAAATAAATCTTTAAAAAAAAAAAAGAGAAAATGTTATTAATTCAACACAAAGGTAATGCATCACTACCACACTGGAAACATCAACTGCCTGAGTCCTATTATTGCCTAACTTAAGGTTTCTTCAGAAATAGCAATAGAGGTCAGTGGCCTTATTCAACTTGTACATTACATAGATATTATTTACAGTTTATGGATAGCTGGTAAGTAGATTTGAGTATGAGATGTTAGAGGAAGCAAGAATTTGTGTTACACAGAGACTAATTTAAAAAAATTAACTCTGAACTAAAATATAGTTTAGCAGACAGGCTATCTGAATATTCAAATAATATTCAAGAATCTATTGCAACTACAGTAAGAAGTGATACTGGCCTGTATCAGTTGTCTCCTTAGTCTGTACTCACTGGGATGAAGGCCCAGAAGGGGTGTTTTCCTGAATAGAGTTTCCAGGTTCAGGAAGATGTGGTAAATATCACATGATCTCTGGGTTCTGTTTCCTTTCCCTTGCCTTTACAGAACCTATAGGTCACAGACCTCATCTGCATAGAGCAGAAGCTTGTTATGCCTATACTGGTCATGGGAGATCTGGGGGGAGATTCTAGTCCTGTTGGTTGAGCATGCTGGGAGTCATGTCACTGAGGTAGATAAAGACAGACTCACTGACATATATACAGGAACAAATGTTGAAAAATAACAGTTTTGGGTAATATACAAATTTGTCCAATAGAAAGATCTAGTATAAAAATAATAAAATAAATATGTATGTATTTAGACGGAATGGGACAGGGCAGAGAAGTCAAGAAGTAGCTTTTAAAGAAATTTAAAATTGTTTATTGATTTTCATTTTTTAACCATGATTATATCAATATTTTCACATGTTATCACCTAGAATTGACTATAACAGCATTTAGTAATAATTTAAAATCTTTTTTATCTGCAGCTTTAAATATCTTTTTTTTTTTTAAAAAAAAAGATTATTTATTTATGCATACAAGTACTGGGGTACAGGCCAGAGGTGCAGGAGGTGACAGGATTCACCAGAAGAGACAGAGCGGGGAACAGAACAGGCAGACTGATGAAGTGCACTGCTGGGGGGAGCAGCGGGCGAGACAGGAGAGGTCTGCTGCACCATGTGGGTCACCTCTGGGGCTGCGAATCAAACTTGTGCTGCAGTGGCTGCAAATAGTTTCATAGAGCTGTGCTTTAACCCTTCACGACACCAAGGAGGGCCCAATATCTTTCTTTTTTTTTAATTAAAGAATTATTTTCCCTTTTTTTGTACTTTTATTTGTTTTTTATTTTAGATTAGATTTATTTATTTATGTACACAAAAAGTGGGATACAGGCCAGAGGTGCAGAGGGATGAGAGGATTCACCAGAGACAGAGTGGGGAGCAGAACAAGCAGATTGACTGTAATACACTGTGCTTAGGGGAGCAGCGGGGCAGGTAGGAGAGATCTCTTGAGCCATGTGGGTCAGCTGCTTAGCCAGGGACTGATGCTTGCTGCAGTGGCTGTGGATTGCTTCATAGTGCTGCACTTAAAAAAAAAAAAATCTATCTAATCTATCTAAATAATCTAATCTAATCTATTACATCATTCTTCATTTTGTGCATTTTTTTCATCTGTTGTAATCCCTGTGGACTTCCCACCACCAATTCACCCCTGTGCCATCACCAAAGTTCTGTGCACTCTTCCCACCCAGTTTTGATCCTATTCCCTTCTCCATCCCCGTAAAATGTCTATAGTTTATAAACTAGTTGTTCATTTTTCATTTTTACTTTATTACAATTGCTTTTCTTTTCCCGATCCCTATTGCTATGAGTGAAACCATCCACTTTAACCCATTGTGTCACCAGAGAGGGCCCAGCTTTAAATATTTCTATGTTGAAATAACGCAATATGGGTAGCTGAATACCAAAATCCTTCAGAGAAATGTTTATGTATGTAAGTATGCAGGTATGTATGTATGGTGTACCATTTTAATTATACACAGAACTACTTATATAATGAATTTACCTACCTTTTAAAAGAGTTTAAAAATCTAACATGTCCTTCTGATTCTATAGCATATCCTACATGTAGGTCATGTATTATCATTCTCATTTTATAGATCAGAAAACTGAGGATAATGAATGAAAGAAGCTGTCAAAACCACACAAGGTGAGCTCATTGAGAATTCAACTCTCCGTTTTAATTTTTTAAGATTTTATTTAGCTATGCATACAAGCCCTGGGGTACGGGCAAGAGGTGGCGTGAGAAGATTCACCAGAGACAGAGTGGGAAGCAGAACAGGCCGACTGACTGAAATACACTGCTGAAGGGAGCAGCGGGCAAGACAGGAGAGGTCTGCCAAGTCATGTGGGCTACCTCCCTGGCCCAGGATGGAAACATGCTGCAGTGGCTGGGGACAGCTTCATAGTGCTGCACTTTAATCCCTTGTGCCACCAGGGAGGACCTACCAGTCTTCCTTATTCTAAATACAATACTTGGTGTCCATTTTACTATCATTCTGCTCCTAAAAGTGCTATAAAATGACATAGGCTAGAAGCATTAAGTTTCAAGTACCTGTTCCATGAAAGTATAAATCTTTCTAAGCACAGAAACTTTCCACATTCCTCTTTGGGTTATGTGAATTTGGCTTTCCTTTAAAAAAGAATTCAGTTTAATATCATAATATCCATTCAAAATTCGGTATGAAGGCCTCCCTGGTGGTGCAGGGGATTAAAGCACAACAGCCTCTGCACCATGAGTTTGATCCCCGGCCAGGGCTACATGGCGTGGCAGACATCTCCTGTCCCACTTGCTGCTCCCCTTAGCAGTGTGTTTCAGTCAGTTATCCTGTTCTGCTCCCCATTCTGTGTCTGGTGAACCCTCTCACCACCTGCAACTCTGGCCTGTACCTCAGTTCTTGTGTGAATAAAAAAATAAATTAAAAGTAAATTTGGTATGAACTTTTATGGCCCATATATCAGTGTTGGGAAATTCAAACAAGTCCATTAAAAAGTGTTTGCATTAAATTTCAATATTTGGACAGCTGAATATAAGCCTAAAAAGCTGACATTTGTACTGGAAAGAATGACATCACAAAACCTATAAATGGCAGTGATGATGGGACAGAAATAATTTTCAAGTACTTCTGATGTGACACTAGAGTGCAGCATTGTCTAAACAACAGCAGTACATTTATAGAGAGGAAGTAGAACATCATCTCAATGAAACAAGGCCAGAAACCAAAAAGGAAAGCCTCACAGGACAAAACAAATTTGGTATGAAGGCCCTCCCTAGTGGGCCTTTTCCCTTTGGATGCAAGTCAGATGTGCTTGCTGAGTGTTCCTTCTCTTCTACCGCGCTGGTTTCCTATACTAAGGGGCACTGACAATATCCACAAGGTTGCAGATGCCAGTGCAGGAGGTGGACAGAAAGTCAAGGTGGTGTCAGTAGGAAAAGCAAAGGACGTCAGGGTCTGGCAAACTGACTTCAGTACAGGTTGTTTCACTAAACAGAAAGGTCACTGATCTGTTTGACTTTCATAGTTCCCTGTTCAAGATCACATTGACACAAGGTAAATTCAACACTGATGGGGATGAATGGATGGGAAGTCATCACTGAATAGTCAAAGAAACTGACCTTCTGAACTAGAGAGTAACATGAAAGTTTTGACTTGAATTCATCTGGCCACAAAGTGCAGTAGAAGTGGTTGCCTAGACAAAGGAAGGCCCCAGAAAACACAACGAGTTGATGTTTAAAGGCACTGGTTGGGTTCTGACTCAGCAGAGGCACTGGTATTAACAGACATCTACTGTGGAGTTGTTTCCAGTCACCATGAGGACAGTCAGGTTTATTCCAACTGTTTAAGGCAGCTATGTTTGAGTAGATAGTGTTAAAATATAATTCTTTAGAGGCACTTTCCCCTAGTTTTACGGACTGCAAATGTCATAAAAATCACTGGGATTCTTATAAAACGTAACACACCAATGATCAGGGCTATTTTTGGTTCCAGAACTCCCACGTTTTTCCTACTCCACCCCAATTCTGATGGGCTTTGGCAAACTCACAAATCCCAAAAGGATGCCATACTCCATGTTTTGTAAGGAGAAAAGCCCTTTGTTAGCATTCTAGAAACCTAAAAGCATATATATCCTCACATGCATAACATAAATGGACACAAATGGGACTCTGCAAATTATCAAGGAGCAGTATGATTAATGATGAATTATAATAACAAACTTATTAAAAAAAAACTTTTATTATGTACCAGGCAATGTGTCAGTACTTTATAGGGTGTTTTAAATGGTGTTTTCAAGATTGTATAGTTATTCAGCTACAGATGCAGGAGTGGAGTCTAGGTTTCTCACTTCCTATTTTGGTGTTCCAGACTATACAGACTATACAGCACACTCTCTTGGGCCCAGGAAAACAAGACAAGGTAAAATCAACCTAGATGCATTATCCTAACTCAGTGGGGACAGGCAAGCAGGGAGCAAGGATGGGTTACCTAGCCACCTGGTTCCTCATCTCTGATGGTGGAAGCATCCGAAATGACCCCAAGCAGATAATGTATTTGAAGGAAAGAAGTGGAGCTCAGCCAAGCAAAGAAAGAAGCACAGCAAAAAGATCCACGCAAACAACATACAAGCAGGGTCATCAGGCCACATGCCATGATGGGCTTTGCATAAAACAGCATGTTACCATTTCCCCACTCACCACACAAAGAGGAATTGTCTGCAGCAGTAGTGTGGGGTAGGAAAGATAAGAGGTAAACACATTACATATGTAATTATATATATTCATATTACATAAACATCAGTGGAAAATTCACTGCAAGTGCTTCAATGCAAGTGCTTCAATAACATTATGTAAAGTTAATTATTACTTACTCCAAGATTTTCCCTAGTTGATCAACATCTGAACTTCCGCGAAAGAGAGGCCTAAAAACAAAACAAAACAAAAAATATTAAACAAGGAATTTCCTCAGGTTACATTTCAATAACATTTGTCATTATTGTTTAACAGGTAGCAAAATATGTTTGATGAATGGGGAAGAATAGAGGCATCCCTTCTTTTGGAAAGTAAAGGTTTGCTGAATGAAGGTTGTAAGACCTCTTTTCTGGGATGGGCACTGAAACCCAACTCTTAAGGTCAGCTGTAGCAGGGGCTTGTCCTTATTGTCTTGGTTTTCAGCTCCTTTTTCGTTTTTGTCATTGGTAATATTCTAACATTTCTACTAGCTCCACTATCCACTTAAAGAAATGCCTGCTAAACTTTACATTTGCTAAATGTTGTAGAAGAGGACTTTGAAGTCATCTGGTCTACACTAGTGTCAGAGCAAAAGCGAGAGCCAGAGCTAGAGCCAGAAGTCTTCTCCCTACTTCCTGACTAGGCTTAACTCACATTTTAATCAAATGTGCTGGCCATTCTTGAGTTAGAACTGGCCCATCAGTTTGGCCTCCCTTGATGAGTATAGTAAATTGAAGGTCTGAATCAACACAGCTCTTCTGTGAACACTCAGTGAGACCTGTTTTCGGAAACTGTTGAAACTTGGGTGCAAGAATTTGGAGTACAGAATGACTTTTGCCATTTTAGGAAGAACTGGTGAACCACTCCAGGTTTACTAACCAGAGTTTGATGGGTTGGCTTGAAGTAGACAGAACCACTTAACCTGGAATGCAAGCAATTAACTCTTATAAGTTGGATACAGATACATAATTCCAAACAATAGAAGTGGATCATGTAAAGAGGGAACAGGACTAACTGGAACTGGTACTCTCAGGTGACCAAAGATCGGTGATAAATATGATCAAACTTTTATGGCCAGTCTATTCACATTCTGAATAGTTTGTATGAACTCGTTTTATGAGAGAGGGTGCTATATATGATGCATTTGGAGGAATTCAGAGGAAATATGAAATATTTCATCAGGATGAACACTTGGGGAATATGGAGTATAAAAATATGACCTTCCCAAGGACTTTGTACTGCACAATCTGTCTTTAAATAAGACTACTGGTGAAAAGTTCAGGCACTATTAGGTCTCTGATCTGTGTGTATCATATACTGAAGCGACATACAAAACTATTTTCATTGAAGTTACTTTAAATGTCTTCCTTAGACTGCCAAGTCACATATCCTCTAATTAATTTAATTTATGACATATTTTAGATGGGCAAATGTGAACATAAACACTGATTATATTCTTCAGTTTAGCAGTGTGGGAGAGTTTAATTCTACTGCCTTGACTAGTTTTATGATTGTAGGAATGATTCAGCTGAAACACACATATACATCAGCTGGACTTGCCTGGTTCTTTATTACGATGACATAGAGTTGACGTGGATGGAAACCGAAGTTTGAAGGAACAAAGTGGGAGAGAATAAAAGGAACATAAAAGAGAGACTGGGAAGACTGAGGCAGATAGCAATATCCGTCTGAGGAATCCAAAATATCTTTGAACTCTATTTCTTTCTATTGCCTTAAAAGCTACTTCTGAAAATTGTTATGGAGGTCGTGCCTGAAGACTAAAAAAGTAGGAGAGGGGCCCTCCCTGATGGCACAACGGATTAGGATGAAGCACTGCAAGCTCATTGCCATGGCTCAGTGCGAGTTCAATCCCTGGCTCCAAAGGTGATCCACATGGCACAGCAGACCTCTCCTGTCCTGCTCGCTGCTCCCCTCAGCAGTGTATCTCAGTCAATCCACCTGTCCTCCCCACTCTGCCTCTGGTAAATCCTCTCACCACCCCTGCACCTCTGGCCTGTACTCTAGTTCTGTATGTATAAATAAATCTTTTTTAAAAATTAGGAGAGGAGTGTTATTATGTATTATGAGAGAGAGGTGTACAAAAGATAAAAACACATGGATTTTTTCCTTCCTTTTTTGAGTCACTGCAGGGAGATCTACCAAACTGTATCATCTGGCTTTAGACATAACCTTCCCATTCACAAGTCCCCATAACACAGTACTAAATTTTTTTCCTACTGATTATTTAAAGATAACATTAGCAATAGAGGTATTCTATTAAGGATAGTAAATTAGAAACATATTTTTATAGTTTTTTTCTTTTTTTTAAAGATTTATTTATTTATGGATACAGAACTGGGTACAGGTCAGAGGTTCAGGGATGGTGAGAGGATTCACCAGAGACACAGTGGGGAGCAGAACAGGCAGATTGATGGAGTACACTGCTGAGGGGAGCAGCGGGCTGGTAGAGGGGTCTGCCACGCCATGTGATCACCTCTGGGGCAGGCGGGGATCGAACTCATGCGAAAATGGCGTTAGCTTCTTAGTGCAGTGCTTTAACCTGCTGCGTTACCAGGGAGGGCCATATTTTTATAGTTCTAAAAATTCTTTTCTTATAGAAGTCTTTTTATTTTAGGGCAGTTAAAGAATAAAATGGATTACAACCGAGATGGAAAAATGAGCAAAATGAAGAACGATATATATATAAAAAAAAAAGAATAAAGTGGAAAGAGTATGGTGATCAAGAACATCCCAAAATATAGATTGCATTGCTTTACTGCATTAGCACCTTTAAAAAATCCTTTTATGAGATGTGGTACATATATACAATGGAATATTACTCAGCAACCAAAAAAGAGAAACACATGTCTTTTGCAGCAACTTGGATGGAGCTGGAAAAGATCATGCTTAGTGAGATAAGCCAGAAAGAGAAAGAAAAATACTGGATGGTTTCACTCATAGCAGGAGTATAATGGACCAGGCGAGAAAATAACAAAAATAATGAACAACCATATACCAGAGATATTTTGTGGGGGTGGAGTGGGGAATGGGATTAAAACGGGGGGGTGGAGAGGGAAGTGCACGGGATTATGGTGATGGCACACGGGTGACTTGGTGATGGGAAACCCGCGGGGATTACAATTGAGATGGGAAAAAAAAATGTACAAAATGATGTAAAAATAAACTTGTAAAAAAAATCCTTTTATGGTGTAGAACATTACTTAAGGTCAGTAACTTATAGGCATTTTACTATCAAAAACTATGATTAATAACTTATATTAAATGACTTTCATTAGCTTAAGAGTTTGAGTAATGGCGCACAAACACCTGCTCAAGATTTTTGTTGAATGTAAATTTCATGAATCCATTTCTAACTTCATACCTACATTTACTTTCTCCTCACTCTAATTTTTTTTATAGAAGATTTCCTCTATGTTCACTTCTTGGGACTACTACATTCTGCTACATAAGTCTTGTTTATTATGTACTGAGCTGCTTTCTATTTTGATTTCCCACATGAACTACAGAGGAGCCTACTTTACTAAACTGTATTTGAAACCAATTTATTTGACAAGACAAACAATATTTGGAGGAAATCATCTAACCTGATCATTTCTATTAATTTTTTATGAGAGAATTTTAGATTATTTCCAAATTTGTTCAAACAATTTCTTTTAATGTAACATCTCAGAAGTTAGTGTTGGTGTGATAAACTCTTTATGGAAGAAAAATTTTCATTTACACATCCAAACATCCTTTTCTAATGAAAAGGAGTTTATTGCAAAGGAATGTCAATACTTCAAAGAATAGCATTTATTTCAAACCATAGCAAACTCAATTCTCTCTCATATCACTTTAAGCACTGTTACACCAGAACAAATACGGTTCTCAGGGCTTTTTAGCAAAGATTTTTCCACAAGGTTTTCTTGAATTTATGAGAAGTCAAGCCTTGATAGCCTTTCCACCCTTACCACTGGAACATATGTTGATCTTTCAGGGTATCTTTGAGTAGATAAAGAGCAAAGACTTTGGGGATGGCCTATTCTGGAATTGAACCCCTGCTTGGCTCAATCATTTCTATCTCTCTGACCTTAAGAAAGCTCCTTAACCTCCTTTGAACCTTGTTCTCTTTATCTGTAAAATGGACAGAATGACATCTATCTCATAGGATCAATATATATCATCTAAAATGTTCCAGTTTACAGCAGAGAAACACTAAGTGTCAATTGAACACACATGGTTTCTCACAATCAAACACAGTAGACAGCTGTTCCTGACCATCATTATACAGAGATGAAAATGTAAAATACTTCACACAGTAAAAAAAAAAAAGGAAGGGGGGCATCTGTATCAGTGTGGTACCTGCCCAAGTTATGTTTAAGCCTCTAGGATCATTAAATATTCTCTATGGCTGTTACAATTGTCACAACTTTATCAAAGAAGTATTTTCCAAAGGATGAATGTGAATTTTCCAGTAAGGACTAATTAATTCAATTAATTCTAAATTTCAAAATCATTTCCTTTTTTTTTTTTTT